TAATTATTATTGAATACATTGCAACTGATGAAATTTCTTACATTTTAAATATATATGTTATATATAGTTAGATGAGCTAGCAGTTACCATTTAGAGGGAAGGACGCAATCTCATTAGCAAGAAGGCAGGCAAATCGTAGAACTAATGAACATTAGTGACTCAACATCCCATAGGTGGGGAGATTAGAATTTAAGTCTATTTCTCATCAACTGTACTTATGTTTCAATAAGATATGTTGTCTGCTCACTTAACATAATTTCTTATCGCAACATGGCAATAATTATAATAAACCATCATGGTGAATAATTAATATAAATTAGATTTAGTGGACAGACATATGCATATAAATAAATGCAAATGAGTGAAGTAATGCATATGAAAGCAATTAGTGTTGAACAAATGGATTGTTCCTGAGAAGTCTATAACTGTTTGAGGTAATTATTAGGATTTGGTAGTACTAAAATAGTGTTATAACTCAGTGGATCAGGAGACTCACTTGGAGAATTTTTATTAAACAACATTCTTGGGTTACACGGATGTACTGACTTAGTAAATATGATTGGAGCAGTAAGAAAGTTTCCAAAGGTCCTTGGTAATTCTGGTGACTGACCAGATTAGGGAATAATAGTGACAACTTGAATTTATTGAGCTTCTTTGGGTGTGTGCTATAGGCTAGATACTACATAACAATTTACAAATACTGACTGGATTAATATCCATAAAATCCTGTGAAACAAACATTTATAATACCGAATTTACAGATGTGGAAACTGAGGCACAGAGAGGCTAAGTAACATGTCTAAAGTTATAAAGCTTGTAAGAAGTGGTGGTGGAATTTCAGACCAGGAATATTGACTCCAGAACCTGAGCTGCCAAACAGCATATTCTACTACACTGGTTTATACCATGTCATGGTGAAAAAAAATCTTCCTTCACTTGGTGTCCCATGTTGACATTCTATGACCTTGGGCAAATCATCAGCTACCAGTGGGATTTTATTTTGCCTTGTGGCAAAACCTGTAAAAATTGTGATAGAGTCTGGGGTTTTTCAAATGAACACCTGGTTGCTTTGTCATGGAAAAAGACAAATACAGCCTAATAATTAAGTTGAAATTCATGATTTTTCACTTTTTTTCCCAAACCTCCACACATTTGAAAGTTCCTGTTGATAATTCAGTGTGTATACAAGAACTCCTGGCTTACCAACAGCTGCCACATAGAGTTGATTTGGCCGATATATGTTAATTCAACCCCTTGCTTCATTTGAACTGACCAGGCAATACTGTCAAAGTGGTTGGATCAGCCCTAAACAGTCCAGACCCCTCTTTTACTTTGATGTGAATTGAATGACAGTAACCCCACCCATTCTTCCTAATGGAATATGGGGAGAATTTGCGAGAATGTATTTGGAAACACTGAATTTTTTTGAAGGAATTTCCGAGGTGAAATATTTTCATAATGGGTTCATCTTATCTAACCTATTATAATAACTGTGACAGTAAGAGGGCAAAACTTCCTCATTAGTGGATATTTAACATAAGCCTTCAGCTGCCTATGGGTAAAAGAGCATATTAGCTCAATGTGTCACCAGTGGGGAATTGTTTAATTGTAATAGAACGTAATACAAAAGATATGATTATTGCCCAGGAACAGTCTGAGATTCAATTCATTTCATAGTTTTCCAAAACTGCTTTTAGTTGCTCTCCTCACAGAGGCACTCAATGCTGAAAGAATAGTGAGGGCGTTAGTTTATCTGACATCACTGCTAAAGAGAAAATGTATCCTGGGGGGAGCACTGCAAAGTTCCTGAAGTCTGCCATTGTGGTGGTCTTCACTAACGCTGACTTTGCTGTTTGGTACTTCATTACATTTCACCACTCTCCTGTTTTCCCTGGGAGCTTTTTCTTACTTAGGCAATTTGTACCAGACCTTCTTCTGATAAAAAAGAACTTTGGGGATCATCTCCTCAGGGCTTGGATGTAGTTTAATAATGGCTACGAAGAGACCCAGTGTTCTCCAGGGATGGTCCTTGGGTTATTTGAGACAATGATGATGATGTATCAGTTTATTGTATTGAAGGTCAAAAGAAGAAAGTGGACATGGGGTAAAATGTTTAGGGTTAAGCCAGATGAGACGTGGATGCTACAGTTCACAATTGCCATGTTATTGACGTGGGCAGCTCTGTTGCCTGGTCTCTCTGTAGCATTGCCTCTGCCACCTTCATTGATGAATAACAGCACCCAGCTAACTAAAAAATGCTCTGGATTGCATTTCGTTTATGATATACACAGTAAACCAAAAAGATTATCTGCATTGTCTCTCCACAGTAGAATTCATTTTTAAAACAAAAGGTAAGAATGAATGCTTCTCAGATCAGGTAATGTTGTGGAAAGTCACTAGGAAACTGGCTACTTAGTTTTAATATCTCTTTAGAGGAGGTCATTTCTTATTTCATAAACATATATTAAAATTCCTCCACAAATTATGCAAATTTAGGGTGGACTTTGTTTATTTATTTGTGTTAAACGTAACACTGGGTTTGTCTCATTTAAAGATAGTCCTCATCACTTCCTAGCTGATAGATTATTTTCATTACACGGTTTCTTTTAAGGCTATTTGAAGACTAGGGGGTCATCTTCAACTAATGAGCTTCCAGTGACCAGAACGGCATTCTTTGTTAAGGTGCTTTAGAATTTGATTAATTGGAAGGCCAACCCTGGTCTTTTCTGCAGGCATCATTCATAAATCATTCCCTATGGTCTGCAGCAAAATCATCCACACTGTATTATTGGCTAAGACTCTGCAGCACCTTCATAACCCATTGGAAATGAACTCTATGCCCAGATATTAAATTGTTCCTTCATAACTGTGCCTGGCGAGAATTAGACAAAGCACAGGGCATCCAAATGCTTTTACTTGATGTATAATGGAGATTGTTTCATCTGGTAAATAATTGCTTGGTGGGGAGAGGATAATAAGAAGAGATGGTAATGACCAACCTACATGGTTAACCAAGCTGAGCAGGAAGCATTGATTTGGGCAGTTGGAATATCCTTTGACATCTTGCCTGTGGCTTTTTTTCCCTAGATTGCTTCACAGTTTTGCATTTTGTTTTTGTTTTTGAGTAAAATCAGTAGGCTCAGAGGCAACTTTGAAAAATTTCCATCATTGTTAAGTGTTATTATTTCCACAGAGGCTATCATACTGATAGCAGTCCTCAAAATGCATTTGCCAATGCTATAAATATTTGATGATATATATCTCTTTAAGAAAGTCATTCTTGACAAATATCTTCACTACCCTGCTTAAGATTTACTGGCACCTAACCTAGTCTTAATCTGTAATTGGGATAGCATTTTCATCTGTATGAATGGAATATAGCAATTACAACAAGAGAATTTGCACACTGCTCCTGAGAGATGACCCTTATTATAGTCATTTTGCAGCTAGTTAAGCAGAGAGGTCAAGTTCATCTTTCAGGATAAGACAGCAAGTCTGTGGCCCAGCCAGACATAAAACCTAGAGTCCTAATTTAGTGTTTACGATAAAAAACAGTGCATTTAAAAAGAAAAAAAAATTAACTGGTAGCAGGCTCCATGGCTTTCTGAGTACCTGGGAAGTACAATCCCCAAAAGGTTCCTTCTTATCTAGGCCCACGGTGACCACCATGCAGGGTGTTAGAGAGAGATAGTCTGACAGCTGGATTTCTCCAGGCTCTAAGGAGACAGGGATGATTGGAGCCCTCTACTCCTCTAAATTGAGCTCCATCCTTCCAGGAAGCCATTTTATGCATTAGGTGCCCCATGTTGCATCTCCTGTCCTCTCCACTACAACTTGGTCATATAAACAGACAAGTCATTAACCTCACTAAGCTTCAATTCCTCAACTGTAGAATGAGGTCACACCATTTGGTTTTTCTGTCTCATAAGGTTACTGGAAGGATCCTTTGAGACAATAGATGTCACACTGCTCCATAAAACATTAAATGCTCTCCATGCCTGACATACTAATTCAGGGCTTTCTGCAATAACATCAGATTGAAAGTATGCATAAGTTTGCTAGTACAAAAATCTAAGAAGGGTGTAACAGTGGAATCAGGGAAAATTTTTCTCTTGCTTCTCTATCATTCATGCTAGAACAATTGCCATTGGAAAATGATGCTATATTTCAAAGTGAATTGCTACAGGGGAGCTAACAAATTCCTACAAATTGTTTTCCTTTCACAGTCTTGACTTGGGAAACTACATAGAGCTTTATATCAAGAGAAACAAGTCCAAAAGGAAAGACATTGGATTGTGAATAATAATTTGAAAACTAAAGATATTCTCTACTCTGAGGGCGTTTATAAAAAATAAATGTTAATATGTCATGTAGGAGCAACAAATTACACTGCTGTAGATTTTTTGCAGGACTTCAGAGTAGAAGAGAGAATTGGCACATTTGTTTTCAAATTTTCTCTCAAAGATCTATCAGAAAAGATCTCAACATCTTAAGGCAAGTCTAAATCCAAAGAAAAAGAAAAGCAACAACAAATACATCCTTGGAAAAGATATAAGTCCCCTAAGTGTATTTAATGTTTTGTTTCTCAAAAGTTGCCTCTTTTACTTCCATTATGCATCTCAATCCCAGAAATTCTTCCTTTATGCACCACATTTAAAATATTTTAGTTAAAGGGATTATGGGGCTCTCAATTGTATCAAATGCATCCTTGACACCTGCATAAATGTTTCAGGAGAGAACTATGAAATGGCAACATAATTAATTTTTCTAGTAAAGAAAGCCTGATGGATCATAGAAAGATGTTCTAGTTGGCATGGTAATTTCAATACATCACTCTTAGTGTTTCCCTTAAAGGTGTTTCACTGATGAAATAAGTAATATTACAAATAGCAATTTGCTTTGTTTTGTTTATGTATCCAGCTTTGTTACTTCATGCATTGTGTTTCTCAGTTTACCAGTGAAAACTAACTTTGGGTCATTCTCAAGATTAAAAAGAATAGACTTTCAAAAAGACACGTGGACCTCAATGTTTATAGCAGCACTATTTACAATAGCCAAGACATGGAAACAACCTAAATGTCCATTGACAGATGACTGTATAAAGAAGTTGTGGTATATTTATACAATGGAATACTACTCAGCCATAAAAATAATAAAACAATGCCATTTGCAGCAACATGGATGAACCTGGAGAATTCTAAGTGAAGTAAGCCAGAAAGAGGAAGAAAAATACCATACGATATCACTTATATGTGGAATCTAAAGAAAAAAAAAGACAAACAAACTTATTTACAAAACAGAAACAGACTCATAGACATAGAAAACAAGCTTATGGTTACCGCTGGGAAAGGGGGTGGGAAGGGATAAATTGGGAGTTCGAGATTTGCAGATACTAATATATATAAAATGGATAAATAACAAGTTTATACTGTTGGGCACAGGGAACCATATTCAATATCTTGTAGTAACTTATGGTGAAAAAATATGAAAACAAATATATGTATCTTTCTGTATCACTGAAGTATTGTGCTGTACACCAGAAATTGACACAACAATGTAAACTGACTAACTTCAATAAAAATATATTTAAAAAAATAAACATGAAGAGAAAAAAGCCAAAAAAAAAAGAATAGCCTGACATGATCAAATAAGGTGACTTTATTTTTTCTTAATCTATCACTGTTGAGTATATTCTAGAAATACACTATTTAATTGAATACCTGTCCCAGGGACTGATTTATTGCTTCTTTTAACTTAAAATATTAGAACTAGTAAGCAAAAAGTAATTACTGATTTGGACTGGTTTTAAATCTCTTGAAAGTGGGAGTACTATTTTATTATTAATTGACTTGAATCTTGGTGGATTGATTCCTAAAGCATTCTTTGTCACTCTCATTTGGTTATCATTATCTCTAGCAGAATCAAGGGGTCCAGAATCAAGTCACAGATGATAAGTACCACTTTCTTTAGGCTGCATATAACATTATTCCTCCCCTCTCAGCCTCTACCAACCCACACCTCCTTATACAACTTTTAATTTCCTCATAGCCTTCATGTTTCTGCTGTGACTGCAACACTATATCCCACATCATTTTTTCAGAGCTAGATTCCTGGGGTTTCTGAAACTTGAAAAATGGATGAGTTTATACTACACACATATATGGAATGAATGGACAGCCAGTACCAGGAAGAACACAGTCCAACTACAGAATGTCAGTTTCAAGGCAGGAGAATTCCTTCTGCTGTAAGCAGATTTTTGATTCTTCTGAAATAATGTTAACCTGTGGCATTTGGCAGACATGAGGGCATGTTAAGGGGACAAAACTTGTGTAGGGAAGTAGGTTATGGTAATTTTTAAAGGCCCTAAATTGAAAAGTGATAACTCCTTTTGATTATCTCTTGTGTTAGTTTCCGACTTTTAACCTTGACATCAATCTCAGCATAGAGGTAGGGGTATGGTCTCCAGATCCTTTATGTACCAACCTGCTGGTGCAGCTTCCTGAGTTCATTCTCCACCGTCTGTTCTGTGTTCCTAAAATGCTTGGCTTCTAAAGACTGTATCACCTGGGCTCCCTTGCTGAATGGCTTTCAATTGGTTCTGCCAATAGGAAGCAATGGCAAATACTGGAAAAAGGAAGGAGAAATATCAAGGTATTTTTGTCCCTGTGCTTTTCTTGCTCTGGTGCCTTGACCTTCTATAGCTACAACTCCTCTGTGGTTTCCGTTTTCATTGGCTCCAGTAATACGGTTTTCTTCCTGTCTTCTTTTGGCCTTGGGTCTCCACTGTTGAGCATCAACCTACCTCCCTTCCCTCTCCATTAACCCTGCCAACCTCTGCAAACAATCTTTTAATTCAAGTCTCTTTGTCTGAGCTCAGTAGTGTTTCCTGTTGCTAACTCTGTCTAATGCAAGACTTGTATGATACCATGATTGCAGACTTTGTTCTGTGCCACTCCTCTGTGACTACAGAATTATCTGTTACTGACTAGTCCCTAACTAACAAATATAATTAAGCATAATGTAGGGTTTAAGAACAAATGAAAGAGAGTAAGAAAGACTTGGGTTTCATTTTGTGCAAGTAACTTAATCACTGCAGTCATCATTTTTCTCCTCTGTAAAATGGGGATTGTTAGTATCACTGTTGTTTTATTAGTTTTGTTAGTATCTCTGTTGTTTTGAAGACTAAATGGGATAATACATGCAGAACTCTCAGCACAGTACATAGTGCTGTGTACACACTGTACAGTTACCTAGTGCTTATTAGCACTTCATGCATTTTAGCTATTATTGTGATGATTATATATTTTCCAGCTACACATACAGTGATACTTAGATACTTAGAGGGAATGTGTACAATCAGGGGATCTGTAGAAACAGACGAAATTTGACCATCAACATTATACATAACATGGATGATATGGCTTTGTTAGAAGGTATGGATGAAGAAGAAGTAGAGGTGAAATGGATGCTACTCTGGTCATACATCATAACCTCGCTCCCTGTGGTGGCTAGTTCCGCTCCGTTTAAGATGATCTGGTAGGCATGTGGCATGCTGCTTTGTCTGTCTCTGCTAAGAGGCTCCCATCTGCTGTATGATCATCAGGATAACCGATGTTACCAGTTGTTTCTTTATTTCCGTTTTAATTAACCTTCTTCAAGGCATGTTCCCCAAATGTGAAGAGCCAATTTGCTGAGCAAGCCATCTACTTGCACACAGCAAAACTGAAGAATTTGTTTACTTCATAACTCTCAAAAATGTTCTTATTAATGAAACAAAATGTGCATTTTTTGGTTATGTTTTCCAGGTTGATTGTTCTCTTAGGAATTAAAAATGCTTCTGCCAACAATACCTGACTTTCATGGGTTGCTTGCAGGGCTAATGGCTCTGTGGAGAAAAATCTAGGTCTAAAGTCACTAGCTTTGCTGTCATTCTCAATGATGACACTAGGCAGTTGTCAATGGTTACTGTTATGTTCAAGATTCCCGGCTATTCTGGAAGGATTTAATTACATAGGTGCTAGTGGTATGTCTGGACAGGTGGTGAATGTATATTGCCCTTTATATTATCCAAAGTGTGAAGGTTAGTAATTTATTAGGCTAGGCTTGATGTTCCCCTGGCACTAGTCACAAGCTTTCTAACCTTGGGCATGACTTACCTTTCTTTAAACCTTAGTTTCCTAATGTGTAAATGGGAATACTAGCCCTCACAGCATGCATGTGAAAGATAAAGTGAAATAATGTAAGGCAAGTATGTGTTACATTATTTGGCTGCTTGTAAGGTCTTGTGAAATGTTAGGTATTTAGTTGGTATGTGGCAGAACTGAAGATCCAGTGTCAGAACCTGAAGCCATGGTGACCAACTAAACAGTCCCTTGTATGCTCAGAGCTCTAAGTCCGTTCTTGGGCTAATTGCTTCCATGAGTTTTGCTTGCAAGGGTCAGCTTTACTCATGCCAATAATGACCCTTATAGCCCATTTTCTAGTTTTAATGTTTCAAACCAGAACGGGAACACATTAAACCAGAAAAGGAACACTTTGAGTACATTTTAATTGAGTCCACACTTGTTGCAAGAGTTGCTATGTATGCTATGGTTAAATTTCCATTATCTTCCAAGTTCAGGACATTCTATTCCCCCTCCTTTTTTTGGCTGTACTTGACACTGTGACTGACTAGATAAGTATGAAACTACCTAGTGGTGGTTAGAAACACAAACTTTGCAATCAGACAATCTAAGCTCCCCTACTTTTTAGCTGTATGATCTCAGGATAGTTGTTTCACTAATCTATCGGGTTTCTGTTACCACAGACAGACTAAAATAAAAAGAAGATACACAGACTCACACACACACACACAGAGAACACAATATGATAACAGGAACAGAGATTGGAGTTATGTTGCTGTTAACCAAGGTTTGCCAATAAACAACAGAAGCTAGGAGAGACTCATGGAACAGATTCATTCTCTGAGCCCCCAAGAAGGAAACAGCTCTGCTGACATATTAATTTCAGACTTTTGGTCTCTATAGCTGTAAGAAAATAAATTTCTGTTATAACCACAGGGTTTCTAGTACTTTGCTATGGAAGCCATGGGAAGTTGATACAATCATAACTTTTTTATTATTCATACGTAAGAGGACTAATGAATTCTCTCACCTGATGTGAAGGGGTTGAGTGTCTTAGAGTATAAATATCTAAGCCTTAAAATCACCTACTTTCCCCACATTGAGAAAAAGATCAATTTCATTAATATATAATAATTATGTAATATCAAATTTTACATATTTGCATACCCTCTTATAACCCTTATAAATTTTATGACAGTATCCCCCATGTCATCATTTTGAAATGCAAGCAGTAGGCTTCAGTGATAAAACAACTTGACCGACATCATACAAAGAGTATGATTTCCTGATTGCTAGTCTGATTCCCGACTGAGGGTGAGACTGAGTAACCATGTCCATGGCTTCTTCATCTCCCTGATTAATTCATTTCTCTCTGAAGATTGAGTTGGCAATCATCATCACCCTTCTTTAGTGCCTTTCAACTTTTTTTTTTTGGCAGGGGAGGTAATTAGGTTTTACTTAATAATCTTTTAGAGGAGGTACTGGGGATTGAACCCAGGACCTTCTGTATGCTAAGCACGTGCTCTACCACTTGAGCTATATCCTCCCTCCTATCATTACCCTTCTTTAATATTTTTCCTCACACCCTATTTCTTTAATACTTAAAATTGCCATCTCTCTTCAACTTTCTGTACCTTATTCTCTTCTCTTACGTAATACAAAATCTGATTTTTTTTCAGTTGCTCCATGGAGATAAGGGCCAACACTAAAAATGGAATACTCTAACACTGACACAGCACATTCTAATCATGCAGGCTACTACAACTGAGTGCTAGTGTTCCTTTCTATGCCAATTATCTTTATTTTCAGAGAGGTGGGAGTAAGCACTAAATTATGGGGAGAAAATAGTTATTAGAACATAAAGATTTCATAATGTTCAGAAAGAAATCCCCCCAATGACCAGGGTTGCTATAAATATAAATTTCCAATTTTGTAACTAAAACAATTAATTGATCTAATTAATTTTAAATTAGTAAGAATAAGAGAGAATGCAAAAGAGAAGTGTAGATGTGCT